AGATGTAACGGGAAAAACGCCACGAACTTTTTTCCCATATCTAATATATGCGTACATGTGTTCAAAGTTCACATTTCAAGTATGATGTTTGACGGAAGGTTAATTGCATACAACTGTAGAAAAACATATATTTCAAAATCTTAATCATATAGATTAAATTTATAAATGTTTTTAAATTTTTCACAAAAGCTTTTGTACAAGATATTGAAAATGTAAGTTAAAATAAATATTAGAATATTTAAAATTATTCAATAATAATCTTCTACTTATAATTCTAAATCTTCTACAATAATTCTTTAGATATAATAATCTTCATATGCTTCTTTACAATCAGTTAAATTATGAACACATTCCACAAATTCGTCTTCTTCGAGTCCGGAATCCGTAAAGGCATGGAATTTCTTGATACTTCTTATCCTTTTGGTTTGTTTAAGTAGAGATTCGTACATTGCCGCGACATTACTACCGCTGTGCATTCCAGCCATTACTGCAATCGAATTTACATCTAAAAAAGAAAGCAAACGCTGTTAAATTTTATCATTATTTAATCTCGACGTTATTTTTCGTATATTTAATAAGAAGACTACCGGTTCCTACGGGCCAGCCGGCGATATTGCCATCCTTAGTTACGTTATTATTAAAGATCTTTGGATATGGTAAAGTAATTTTCAGCGGTGCTTCAATGTTGGATAAATATGTAGCCGATGCATGACACGTACATGCCAGATACAACGTCATCATCTCGTGTACGCTAGAGCATCTGTAGGCTGGTTTGGATATTTGTTTACTAGCTTCGTGAATGGGTCGCTTTATTCTGTTTTCGGAAATACCTCGTAACGCTATACTTTGCATATTATTATCCATTGGTATGTCGCAATTCGGTGTTAGGCTTGTCCATAGAGAGCCTTCGAATTCATCTAATACGTCTATTAAATCCATCTTCATCTTCATAGGAAACGGCAGACTCAGACTAGTCGCCGCAGCTTTGCGACCTAGTTTGTTCAAATCGGCACACAAATCAGATAAGCTAGCGCTCGGATATTTCTTGGTTCTATATCTTAAGCTCAATGTGTCTAAAGCGGTGGCTAATATCGCGCTACTGTGATATTTTAGTTCTGGACTATACGTTATGTTCTCAAATTTACGTGCATCAGCTCCGAATGGCCAACCGACTTGTCCACAGGAAAGTGGACTATAAAGCGATGAATTCTCTCCAATGTGTTGCCAGCATAATGCTGTATTGACAACTTTAACTAAATCCGATGCACTAGGTTCGGCATTATTAAAGTCAAGACATGGAAATGCCAAGATACTCTTTCCATACTCATCATGTAGATGCTGAACGCAAGACGCTCCAAGACCAGCAAAGCCATCAATAGAATCCATAAGTACCTATTTAATGACATATTATATTAGTAATGACATAATTGTTTTAATAATAAAAAAATGGTGTGCAATAATGTATAAATATGCACCTGAAATCCTTGCATTAAATCACATTCTTCAACATATAATCGTATTTTGTCTGTGAAATTATCAAAGAATTGTTCCGTAGACCATAAATCGCGTCCATACGTGAATATATTAAATGGCCGCTGCGTACAATTATGTAAATACTGTTTGATAACCATTATTGTTCTTGGATGAAATTGTGGTGAAAGATAGTCAACCCATGACTTTACATCGCTTTCAAAATTGAAATTTTCCGAATCCACTGATCCATCAAATTCATTTAAGCTCTGAATAAAAGATGTTCTTAGACTAGGTTCAGCGCTAGTAATTTCCAATTTTGTACTATCCCATAGCAACTGATTATCTGATTCTGTATCATATAAAGAACCTTGTTCACTCAGGTAACCTAATGCTCCTTTTAAATCTGCTATTAACAATCTTGGTGTGAATGTTACTTGTTTCTGAAATATAACTGTCCAATAGTAATTACCATTTTATAATATCGAAATATGTATATTTATAATGTAAGTTTTGAACATAGAATATATCATATTAGAATATATGAATTTTAAAATTATAATAAAAAAATTTATTAGAAAAATATTATATAATAATTACTATATAAT